TGTGTGTGTGTGTGTGTGTGTGTATACACATGACACATGAATGCAAGTGCCCACAGGTGTCTGAGGTGTCAGATACCCCTGGAGCTGGGTAACGGGCAATTGTAAGCCACTTGATAATGGATGCTGGGAATTGAACTCAGATCCTCAGGAAGAGCAGTACATTCTCTTAACTGTTGAGGCATCTCTCCAGCCCCCATGATCCTTGTGGGTACATACACTCAGCAACAAAAATCCAGATTGTGTATACAAGCTTATGTGGAACATGTCAGATTTGTTTTTCTTTTAAATTACATGTATCTATCTGTGTGGATGTGGGTATGTGCATGTGAGTGCAGGAGCCCTCCAAAGTCAGAGGCATCAGATGCCCCCCAGAGCTGGATGGAGCCACCTAACAGGGTGCTGGGAACTGAGCTGGATCCTCTGCCAGAACAGAGAGCATTGCTAACCCCTGAGACATCTTCCCAGCCCCACCAAGCAGTGCTTGTATTCAGCTGTTTTAAAAACAGAGTGAGACAATGAAGAAGAGAGCAGAAACCTCAAATGATACTCTGAGAATCACAGTGTTGCAAAGGATGTTTCCACTGTTTAATGGATAAAATGTCCCCCAGACAGTATTTTACCATGTTATCAAATAAGGAATAAACATGAGTACTAAATGCAAATGAAAAGGTTAATGAGATTGATTTTTAAGATTACTTAAATTATCTTTTATAGCAATTCTATATCTGTCTTTTAATATGCTTCTGATAATTGTATGATACATATATAATAAAAAATTTAAAAATCAATTTGACAATCTAATTAGCTTTAAATTAGTGATTCTCGTCTCATATGAAAAGGTTATCCAATGAGATGAGTCAAGGGGGGTGGCTTTTGAGACAGAAAATGTCTTAAGAAAGCATAAAAGGAACAAGAAGCAGATTGGTTATTCCAGAGTCGCTTTCCTAATAGAGTTAGAACAGAGTGGACTTTCTTATCACACAGGGTGTGACACCTGGCCCTCCCTGCCTGTCTGTTGCCAACACCACATTGTCTGTTGTTGTTCTAGAGTTCCTAAAATGAGAGGCTTCACTCTGATGAGGTCTTGTCTTGGCTACTGCAGTCCAGTAAAATGACTCAGTCCCCTGAATTAAATATATCTATATATGCATAACTGTATACACACACACACACACACACACACACCATATACCCATACAAACATGGGCTTTTCAAATAGCATAAATAAATTCTGGCTACTTAGGTTTTTGTTTTTGTTTTTGTTTTTTTGGTTTTTCAAAACAGGGTTTTTCTGTGGCTTTGGAGCCTATCCTGGCACTCGCTCTGGAGACTAGGCTGCCTCCAACCCCACAGAGCCCCCCCTGCCTCTCCCTCCCGAGTGCTGGGATTAAAGGCATGCGCCACCAACGCCCAGCAACTCTGGCTACTTAGGTAGAATTTTGTTTTAGCATATTAGTAATCTTATTACATTAATTAATTACTAATATTCATAATACTTTAAAACTTCAAACTGTTGACATATATAAACTGTTTTGGAATAGAATAGTTGATAGAGTTTTTTCAATGAAACTATTGAGCTAATTTAACAGCATGAAGTAGTCAATCAAAAGCTCTGTGGAATTTATATATGGATGAAAATATTTCTGAGTTAGGGAAAGGAGCCTGACTTTATTGCTTTGGGGAAATACCATTATAAAAATTTAGGGGACTTCCAGAGTGCCAAAACCCTGTGGGAGTCTCACAGTATTGTAACAAGTTTCGTGATTTCTATCAAAAAGATTGGCTTTTCCTGAGCACCCTTCTGAAGTCTGAATCTTTCTGACCTTGAAAATAAAGGGCAGAGTTTCATCTCGTGGTTGTGAATGGAGGTTGTGTTCCAAGGGGTTGGGGAGGTGTAAGGCTGCCCAGAATAGCGTTCGGTAGACCCAAATGTTCTTGGAACATAAACTATGTTAATTTTAGACATAAAACATCCTAGCCCCAAAAGGAAAAAGAAAAGTCTTTTTTACTTTATAAAGAATGGTCATTTTCTGCCAGAATGTTAGGAAACAACTGAGTTCAGGCCCCCAGGCACTGTGCTCATTTGCCAGCTTTCTCTAGAATGCTATCCCTGCCTTCCTGGCCCAGTACCAACAAGCCACTCTCTCACTTCTGATTTGAGCTTCAAGACAAAAACAAGGCTCCATTGCAAGTTGCATTCTCCAGCGAGTCAGTCCACCTGCCCCAGGTAGGTAATTGTGTCTCAAGACAGTCCTGGGGACACAGAAAGCCTATTGTATCCAATGAATGCAACCCTGTCATAGGCCTGCTTTAGTGCCTGTCATTAGACAAAATCATAGCTCTCTGCTTCCTGGAAAGGCTCCTGCAAGGGTTTTAAAGCCGCAGTGTATGATTTACCACCTTATTAATCTTAGTTGCAGGTGTAAGCACATACGGATGTGTTATTTAAACCACTCTTAACCCTATGTGTGCGTTTGCATTCTATCACGGTATTGTAAAAAGTGCAAGACACTTCAACAAAATTTTGCCTCTTTTGGATATTTTGGACTCTTGACCCCATACATTTGTTGCTATGACTTTAAGGCTTAGTTTGAAGCCCTGGCTCTAGAGTGACCTGATTTGTCTTCTGAGACACACAAACTGAAGCACCCAGCAGGCCTCATACACAGCGGGGTTGAAGGCTGTCTGTGCAGAGAAGTGTTTTTTTTTAGCAGCTGCATTTTGGTAGCTATGTCAGAGTTAGGTCCAAGGGAAAGCTGGCCACCTGAACATGAGAACAAAGAAAACAAAGTTTAACAGCCAGTCAGACACCCCGCAAGGTCAGTTAACAATGATGGCCAAGGCTAGGTAGTAGCCAGTGAAGGTCAGCAGTTAACAAAGCCTAAGTCAGAGGCAGACAAAGGAGGGCTTCAAACACGCCTGACTGGGTAGATAATGAGCACATGGTTGGGCCAAGGGAACATGCACAGAACTTGTGGGTTCATGATAGCCCAGAATGCTAACCAATCCAGCAGAAGCCTTCATCTTTGACCAGTTTCTGTAATGAGTCCTATAAAATCCAGAAACAAACCACTGCAATGGGTTTTCCTCTCTCTGGCTCCATTTGCAATCTCGGGAGTTTCTCTCACTTTACCTTAGTTTCTCTTAAAGCTTCGTCTACTTTGTGCTTACTCCCATGCATGTTCAGTCTTTAATCTTTTTTTTTTTTTTTTGAGATTTTTTTTTTTTTTGAGGGTTTCTCTGTGGATTTGGAGGCTGTGCTGGAACTCAATCTAGGCTGGCCTTGAACTCACAGAGATCCATCTGCCTCTGCCTCCCAAGTGCTGGGATTAAAGGCATGAACCTCCAACACACAGCACAGTCTTTAATCTTGATCAGCATCAGAAACCTAACTTGGGAGCCATTGTCTCAGGCTGCCCTGTGGTGGCTGCTGAGTTTCCAACATTTTAAGTTGCTGGGTCGAACACACATGGGCTGAGAAAACTGAGTCTCTAAATACAAACACACATCTCATGTTCTATAGCCACTAACTCAACTAAAAATAGTCGTGTTTTTGAATTCGTGATTTCAAAACTAATCATTAAAGGCATCAGAACATGACTTAAAATCACTTTGTAAAGTTCACCACAAAGTTCAGTGATTTCAAGTGTTTTGCACATCACAAAAGGAAAGTCAGTAGGAACCAGTCACATGTCAACTCTGGAAGTGACACTTTATTCAATGGTCAATGCAGGGAGAACCCAGTACTGTGTTCAGACCTATGTCTACAGTGCAGCCCTCTTCCGTCCCCCTCCCCCCAGTCAGCCTGGAGATGGTTGTCGGGACAAGCTGGAGCTCGTCTGAAAACATAGATCACAAAACTCACTTTAGAGATGGCAATTGAGCTCCTTGCATTAAAGACCTTTCGCCCACAGGTTTCGGCTCTTGGAGATGTGCAGTTTGTGATTACTGGGGCCAACCGCAGTCAGGGTACCACTCCTGTTCTAGGCAATAGGTGTAGGAAAACCTGATAGTGGGTATTGTTTTTCGTGTATTCAAGTGGTAGGAAGTGAGGTCAGAGCCATCTGAATGGCTCAGAGCCAAGGGTTCCTCAATGACATGGTCAGTCTACCAAACAGGCCTGAGACCATGTTTCCATTCTCACACAAGTCCACTTCCTAAATTCTAGCATTTTTGCCTTCAGCTCATGTCTCAGAATTGTCTCCCACTCACAGGACTCTAACCTATGCCTTTAAAGACTGTAGGTCAGCCTTATTTCAACGCCAGCTTGCCTTCACAGTCTAGC